TCTCTTTTGCAAATTTTGGTAAGCAGGACTATATATAATCTGATCTTGACTGATATTCATCAACTTTCAGAGACACAGAATGGCTGACGTTGAACGGTCCTGTGTTTTCGCTGCTCCGGAGGTGAAATTGAGCTCCTTCTCCGGCCACCGTCACATGCCCGTGATCGGCATGGGGTTGGCAGCCGACCCTTTGGACGAAATTGCTTTGAAACAGGCTGTCCTGGAGTCCATCAGGCTTGGTTACAGGCACTTTGACACTGCATCTCTGTATGGATCTGAGAAGCCCCTGGGAGAAGCCTTGGCTGAAGCAATTCAGCTCGGTCTCGTTAGTTCCCGGGAAGAATTCTTTGTCACTTCCAAGCTCTGGGTGGCCGACGGTCATCCCGATCTTGTTGTCCCTGCGCTGCAGAAATCCCTGAGGTACCCATCTTAATTCCCCTATATTTCTCAATTAAAGACAACGTTGACAGTTTCCTTAGAACCTCGTTCTCGGATTCTCCAAAAATTATGCACAATCCCAAAATAATTGGACACAAATAAACCAATATAGCAATATAGAGACCGGCCCTTCCGCGGTAATGGTTTGTTGTAAACCTTGTTACTTGGATTTAATTGGCCAAAGTTCAATTCTCATCATTGTTTGAAAAAAATTTCCGATTCTCTATGTAAAAGTAATACTAATACTAATAATAATTATTATTATTATAATAATAAACAACCAGGACAGTTTACAAATATATTCTGTCCGTACAAAACTAATCGTATTTGAAGGGATCAACTAAATTGCAAAACTGCCAACCGGGCCTGTGGCCCAATTGATTGGCCCCAAGCTTTAGGGTTTGGGTGAGGCGGAGGTCAGGGTTTCGAACTCTATTACTGCCGTGAACTCCACCAACTTGCGACCTAATGGTCGCGCACCTCAAATGAGGGGGTGGAACGTTCACTTTCCTGGAAAAATTTCAGTTGCTAACAAACTAACTCTACTAACTTCCTAACCATCTACTTGGTCAAAAAAAAAAAAACTAAATTGCAAAACTGACAACTTTTTCACTTGAATAAAAAAGAATTGATTTTATTTTAGAAAATAAATTCAATAGAGAATTCGTTCGGTAAGAGGGGATATTAGGTTTGTCCTTATTCTGTTTGTCCTTAGGTGGCAGATTTCTTGTGAATAAATTTTATCGATTCATGGTGATTATTGTGTTTTTGCAGGACTCTCCAGTTGGAATACCTGGATCTATATCTCATCCACTTGCCTATAAGTGCAAAGCCAGGAAATTTACAGTGGTCAATCCCCAAAGAGGAGCTTCAACTAATGGATTACAAGTCAGTGTGGGGTGCCATGGAAGAGTGTCAAAGGCTTGGCCTCACCAAGTCCATTGGTGTCTCCAACTTCTCTTGCAAGAAGCTTGAAAACATATTCTCCTTTGCCACCATCCCCCCATCCGTGAATCAAGTGAGTAGTTGACATTATTTTTATCCATAACATTCTTTCCATGCTGCAAATATTAGAGTACTGGGATTGTTTAGAATGGTTTTGTGGTTTTAACACAATGAATATTGGGTTACTTGCTTTGGAGTGTAATTTACCACATTAGGAACTTTTTTGATGGATTATTGACAATCAATATGATCGGCTTGATGTTGATTATAAAATGATGTTACAAAAATGAATAAAGAAGAGGTAATGAGACTTTGTCTTGTTTCAGGTGGAGATGAACCCTCTCTGGCAACAGAAGAAGCTAAGGGAATTTTGCAAGGCCACAAATGTAATTGTGACAGCCTTTATGCCTTTGGGAGCAATTGGCACTTGGTGGGGCTCCAATCATGTTTTGGATAACGAAACACTAAAAGAGATTGCTAAAACTCATGAAAAGACTATTGCTCAGGTTCTTGAACATTGTTTAAAAATGAATCTACATGTCTTACATTACTCTTTGATATCAGTGATTTTAACAATATATATTTGGGACATTGGCAGGTTTGTCTGAGATGGTCGTATGAGCAAAGAGCAACTTTTGTGGTTAAGAGCTTCAACAAGGAGAGGATGAAGCAGAATTTGCATATATTTGATTGGGAATTAACTGAGGAGGATCACAAGAAGATAAACCAGATTCCACAACGGAGGTTCTTCCTTAATGAGGAATTCATCTCACCTAATGGACCCTTCAAAACCCTGGATGAACTCTGGGATGGTGAGCTTTAGACATTAAATTGGTCTCATATTTCAGACAAATGCGAGTATATGCATGCTGACATTGCAGGAAGATCCTCACTAAATTTGTTAGCACACTTGGTCTTAGTAGTTTGTATGTTAGCTTTGATTTGGCAATCCCATATTACATTAAGGGACTGTTTGGGGGGAATATTTTCTGTATGAATAAATAATTTGTTTCATGTTTTAAATAAAACTTGAATACTTATGGGTAGTTTTCTTTCACTACCTCTACCTCCAAAACTTCCTAAAATTTGTTATAACTTACGGAAAGGATTGAAAAATTTAAGCATTTGAAAGAATAAGCTCCTAAAAACCATGCATTCAGCGTACTAGGAATACCTCAATACAACATTATTGAATCAGAGCAAAAAAAAATTGTGTGTGCACATGCAGTGTAAATCCACGGTGTTGCTTCTTCGGTGAGTATACATTAACTCTATTTGGATTGAGGGAGTCAAGGAGTTAAGAGGGAAAGGGAGAAGAGTGAAGGAGATGTCTCATTTTTATATTGTTTGAATAACTTCATTAATGGAAGAGGATTGAAAGGGATATAAATGGAAGGGCATGCAGTAGACTCCCTTCAAATCTCTTATTTTTATTTCCTCTAATTTAAGGGGATTTAGAAGGATTGAATTTATTTTTATTTTATTTTTTTACTTTTTTAAAAAATGTAATTAAAATTTATATTTTAACGTTAATCTTAAATATTTTTATTTTTATTTTTTTTGCTTTTTTTTAAATGTAATTAAAATTTATATTTTAACGTTAATCTTAAAATATATATTTATAAAATTTTGACTAATTTTACAATTATTTTTCTTTATTTTATTTAATTAAATAAAAGAATAATCTCTCCCTTCCTTTTCTTCTTTTTTTTTTTAATCTATCCAAACAAAATTAATACTAATTCTTTACTCTCCTTCCCTTTCCCTCTCTTTACTTCTCCTCCATTTACTTCACTTTCCTTTACTAATTTTTGTCCAAACATAGTGTCAGGGTCCATTTGGTATGAAGCTTAGAAATTGCTACCTTAAAAGCTAACTAAAACCTTAATTGTTTAGTTTATTAAACCTCTCACTTTTCCAAAGAATTTACAATTCAGAAATTTTAACTTAAAAGGTACTTTCTTAATAAAGTGAGGAGTTTAGTGAGAAATTCTACTATGTCATAGGTATATTGTGCTAAGTTATTTTACTAAACGGCCAACTCATCTTTTAGTAAAATAGCTTAGCACAGTTTAATAGAGAATTTCTTTGGCCCTTCTCTCCTCTTCCTCTTCACTATTTTCACTTCACCTCAAATTCCTCTCAAAATTTTATTTTGGCCTTTCTCTTGTTGTCTTGTTTTTTTCCCTAAACTCCAATCACCTAAAACTTTATTATGAAAATTTTGTTTTATCTCCTCCACTTCCCTTCATTTTGACCTTAAGTTAAAAGTTTTGCTTCTGGTGATGTAATGTAAGCGTAAAGATGTTAATTTTCATAAGCAAAATGTTGTGTAATCGTGAGATTTTTAATTTTTTTTTCTAATAAGAATGTGACAAAAATGTTGCAATACAAGGTGAAGGATGTCAATGATGACCCAATTTTATTTCCATTAGTTTTTTAGTAATTCTTAATTCTCCTCACTTCTTGTTCCCAAATGGCTAAATCACAAACCAATCAATGTGAAATAGTTTTTGGAAATTGAGGGTTAAAAGGGAACAAGTTATAAGTATGGGATCTAATAGAGGCCAGCTTCTTGGGGTAGGTGGGTTATGATTGCCATTGTTGTTTTGAGAGACCAAGTAGTGAGTGAAGGAGGAAAGGGAAGATTTGGGGAGGATTGGAGACGAGAAGGCATTTAGTGGACGTAATGGATGAGAAAGGGAGATGAGAGAGATTCTGTTAGTCTATCTTTGTTAACGTACGTTGAGATGTTTTGACTGAGTTTAAGGAAATGATAAGGTGAACTAATTTAATAAGTTGTCAATGTTTGATTGGTTTGGGATACCATATCAGCTTGTATACCCATGATATGCTAGAATTTCTGAGAGTTTAGTTGACTATGTTGGGAAATTTTACATGAACTTTAGCTAGTTGTATTTGGTTTTCAAAATTAGATCAAATATGAAATTGGTAAATTTTAATTAAATTATATATTTAAGTGAACTTAAGTTTTATCTGTTTTATAAGTGTGATATAAATAGATGTAAAATCTAAAAGTAAAGATGAGTTGCTTGATGAGAGTGGTTAAAAGATTATTATAATGGGTTAAGTTTAATCTCATATTCAAAAATTATATCTCTGTAAATAGTGGAGTTAAAAAGTGATATAACCCTTTAATTGTCACTATATTAAAGTTAATTATAGAGAGGACAATCTAAATCTTAATATTAATTATATTTGTTTTATAGGTTTTTATATGAAATTTTAAATTATGATGATCCTCAATGTTCATTAATATTCTAATCCAACATATTAATTACAAAGATTAAAATATATGATTTATTTATATGTTAATACAGATTTTTAAATTTATAAAATTTTAATTATCACCACAAGAAAATCCACATTTAGTGACTAAATTATTGATCATTAAATTTTTATTTTTTGTCACAAATTATTAATAGTGATAAAATTTAAACCGTTAATAAAACTCTTGTCACTAATGTTCTTAGTAACAAATTAGGCACCTGTCACAGAAAATAATTTTATAGTGATAAAAAAAATTGATATTATTAACAAGTTATTTATAATAGTTTTATTTAAACCGTTAATAAAACTCTTGTCACTAATGCTCTTAGTAACAAATTAGGCACCTGTCACAGAAAATAATTTTATAGTGATAAAAAAAATTGATATTATTAACAAGTTATTTATAATAGTTTTATTCGTCACAAAAAAACATTTTTTGTTACAATAATTTTCACCACAAATGTTACAATTGAGTGACAAAAAAATAGTCACAAATGCAATTGTGATGAAAAATTTAGACATTGATTATTAAAATTGATATTAAATAAAAAAAGATATTTATATAATTACAATACAAATATTGTAACAAAAATTTTGTCACAAAAAAATAATATATAAATTTATTACAAAAGTTTAATAAAAAATATTATTATTTCAATACTAATCAATTTTAATTAAAATTAATCAAGCCCGATTAAAATTAATCAGTCCAAACTAATCTCATGTTTTATTGAGTTTCACATGTTTTATAGTGCAAAAATTTATTTTCTTAAATATTTCTCATCGATGTGAGATATATTTATAGTGCAA